TGGACAATGCAAATGCAACCGCTGCCAGTGCTTTGAGGGCTACTATGGCACTCTATGTGACCAGTGCCCAGGCTGCAAGACACCATGTGAGAGACACAGGTGAGGCCTCAGGTCTTTAATCTTGGAAGCAAAGGCATAGTGGGTTCGAAGAGCTACTTACTCCTGTCTGCCGGCCCTTACTGCTTAGGATGTGGTTGTGGGTAGTGGGTGACAACTGCCCAGCTAACTTACTGGCCATCTACCACACAGGGACTGTGCAGAGTGTGGGGCCTTTGGGACTGGCCCCCTGGCCACCAACTGCAGCACAGCTTGTGCCCAGGCCAATGTGACCCTGATTTTGGCCCCTATCTTGGATGATGGCTGGTGTAAAGAGAGGACTCTGGATAACCAGCTGTTCTTCTTCTTGGTGGAGGAGGAGGCTGGAGGCAGGGTCATGCTGAGAGTGAGACCTCAAGAGAGTAAGTGGTTAGAAATGTCAACCAGAGGCCTGGAAATCTGATGGGCAGGTGAAGAAGATAATGGGAAGCCAGGCTGGGGGCTAAAGCAGAGTCCAGGGCAGGGGCAGAGGTGATGGACCAAGTGCACAAGATGAAGGCCTTGGGCATGTGATGATAACCTTGGACTCTGCTGGGTTTCCTTTGCTTTCAATGACAGGGTTGGATAGACTGGATACACTGTAGGCATCAGTTGATCTGTGTCCTGTTCCTCCCCTACAGAGGGAGCAGACCACACCCAAAACATTGTGTGGGGCTGTGTAGGGGGCATCGTGGTAGTGGGATTGGTGCTGGTCCTGGCTTACCGGCTCTCAGTAGAAATCTATGACCGCCGGGAATACCGTCGCTTTGAGAAGGAGCAGCAGCAACTCAATTGGAAGCAGGTAAGGTGACTGCTTCCTGGCCCTCCCAGCTGGACTTTTCCTTCCTTTCCCTGGTTAGGCCCCTTTATGCTGTTTCCACACCCAAATTTAGCTGACTCCTCCCACCACCCTACACACCTATTACCACCCTCTGCTGCCTTCCATCAGTTCCTATGATGCTGCAAAGTCATAGGCTGGCCTCTTAGAACTAGATGAAGGGGACAAGAAATCCCAGGGTTTTCACTCATAATTTGCAAACTCTTTCCCCAGGACAGCAATCCTCTCTACAAAAGTGCCATCACGACCACCATCAATCCTTTCTTTCAAGAGGCCAATGGTCCTACTCTCTGAATGAATCACCCATGACTCTTCAGGACCAGGACTGCACAGGGAGGACAGTGGGAACTGGGGGGTGAGTCTAGCAGGCAGGAGCCTGGTAGGTTACTAAACCACTGCAGGAGTGGTCACTATCATACTTCATTTAAGAGTGACACCCAAGGATGCTTCCTGTTGCTGTGACTTTGCCTCTCTCCCTCACAAGGAGGGTTACACCACCCAAGCATACAATAAAGTCTTACCTGAGACCACAGCGGTCACTTGGCTTTACTTTGCCAGGGCAATGCAGACTGTTTAGCCTGTGTCTCAGGGAAGTTCATGTCCATTCTCCTCCTGCCATTCGAGGCTGGGGAGTTCCCTGCGGCTCTCCACAGAAAGCACATCTGGGCCTGCTGTGCACAAGAACCAATGCCCTGTTCTTGTACTTGCTGCTCCTCTGTGGAGAAGGGGAGCTTTGAAATGGTGGTTTGTAGGGTGCTAGAGGTTGTCGGGTAGTTATGTTAGGGGAAAAAAGGAAAACCACTATAACTACTCTGGCCCCCAGTGAAAAAGCTTCCCCAAAAGACAATTCTTCCCAAAGAGATAAGTAGAAAAGCCCCATTTTCTTTTTATTTAAATATCCTAAATATATCACGAAGGAACATACACTGCACTTTAATGGTAAAAAGATACAAGTTTATAACATCTTATAAAAACTACTATTTAAAAGTGATCTTGTCCATTTGATATTCCCCTCCCCCATAGCAAAATAAGTATATTAAAAAAAGAAAAAAGAGGGTGAAGACAAAGGATAGGAATGAGATAGTTGAAGATGAAAGCCCCAGGGCTGCAGCAGAGGCAGAGAGCATCTAGGAAGAGGGTTAAAGCTGCGGTGGGACTTCACTCACTAACCCTCCAATTTCAAGCCATGGGGCATAATCAGTAGCTAAGTGATGATGAGGCTGTTGGGGAAGGCTGGGAAAGACTTGGGTGCTGGGAAGGGTGGGGCTGGCAGGGCCTGGGACAGCAGCCCACCTAGGAATAGGCACTCTACTTTCCCAGGTCCCCTATTTCCACACCCTGGTTTCTGATAGCCCGCCCTGTCTCCGCCTCCCCTTACACCAAACACACCTGAGGCATCTTTCCAGTGCGAAGCCCCATCCCAGCAAGGGAGGGGTAGGGTGCTGGGCCCTCTACGCACTACATCACTTCTTCTACCCCTCTGTTCTCTCCTCACACATCTACTGCTCCAGAGCATCAGCACCTGAACTAAACTCCCTACCTGGCTCCCAAGTTTTTCCTGCACCCAATTCCTCAGCAGGGTGGTTCTGGTATGGCTGTTTGTACATATACTCAGAAGTTCCCTCCTTCCCCCAAGCAAGAAGCCAAGGTCTGTGGGGAGTCAGAGCACCCTCTGACCCAGTACACACAGAGGCATAGGTCACTCGTGATTCTCTCCACCCCACCTCCACCCAATCTCAAAAAGATTAGCTGTAAATGGCAAGGAGAAAGACCTACCCCTACCTTTTTCAAAAGCAGTTTCGGGGGATAGTTTTCTAAGTGTTTTACAGTGGTGTTTTAGGATGCTGGAAGTCTGGGAGGGGGTGAATCATCCCAGAGGTAAATGACAGAAAGATCCCAGCCCCAGCAGAACCCTCTAACAGGAGAGGTCTGGCTCACTTGCAGAAAGATACCCCTGCTTACAGAGGCCACAGGGCAGACAGATCCAAGGACTGCGATCTTAAGTTCCAGACCACAACAAACGGAGTGTCAGCATAAAGCCAGAAGAGTACATGGCAGCAAGCATTCCTCAGTGTCTCCACCACTGGACCTCAGATGTTGTCAGGGAAAATCTGAAGGGTGCCATGTCCCCTTTCTTTCCCCCTGAAATATACCAATGGTATCGATGACCCTTATGCATCCCTTATCCCTTCCAGAATAGTTAACAGCCAGGAATTGCTGCCGCTGTCTATTCCCTACATTCTCTGGGAAATGAAATCCCAATTCCTGCAAGTTGTCATCTCAGATTCCAACTGACAGCTTGGAACTCAAGTTCACCCAGATTCCATGATTACTCCTAAGATAGTTCCCCTGACCTGCCAATCAGGGTGGGCCATGGTGGGAGCCAACAAACCCTAAAATCTCCTATAGGATCTTTTCCTTAGCAGGAAGGGTTTATTTCACCTTAGAAAATTCATGTTCATAAGCCCTGGCTTGGCTTAGAAACACCCTAACCATTACCCTAACCTCTGGAATCAAACTAAAAAAAATTTCTCCAGGAAAACGCCCTTCTGTTCCTTAGCTCCTGCTAACACCTCAGGTACCCTTCAGGTTTTGGTGGGAGAAGGCTATTTTCTAGTCATCTTCTTCTAAGGCAGCAGTTCTCAACCTGTGGGTCGCAACCCCTTTGGACTGTATTAAAGGTTCGCGGCATTAGGAAGATTGAGAACCACTGATCTAAGGTGAGAACCTGAGAAGGGTTTGGCTCAATAACGTGTCATTTCCAGCTCGGCACCTGTAGCTCAGTGGCTAGGGCGGCAGCTACATACACAAGAGCTGGTGGGTTTGAACCCAGCCCGGGCTGCCAAACAATGACAACTACAACCAAAAATAGTTCCAGCTACTTGAGAGGCTTGAGGCAAGAGAATCACTTAAACTCAAGAGTTTGAGGTTGCTGTGAGTTATGATACCACAGCTTTCTACTAAGGGCGACATAATGAAACTGTCTAAAAAAAAAAGTCATTTCCTCCAAACATACAAATGTGAGCACTCACATACCACACACATACACATACCCCTGATCACTTCTGGGGGCCGACAGGGTGGTGGTGTCAGAGCAGAGAGGAGCAAAGAACATGGTTAACAATAAAACCTATATTCAGTTTTTTCCCCAATCTTTCCTCTGCAGCACCCTCCCCATCACCACCAAATTCTCTGTTGGGTAGGGATGGCCATCAAGAAGGAAGCCAAGGGTGGCGCCTGTAGCTCAAGTGGCAAGGGCGCTGGCCACATACTCCTAGGGTGGTAGGCTCAAACCCGGCCCGGGCCTGCTAAGTAACAATGACAACTGCAACCAAAAAAAAAAA